GGTTCAAGAGTCATAGGTTCAAATCTTGACTCTGCTACCTCCTAGACGACTCACTTCCCTCTCCAAACCTCAGTTTTGTCATCTGTCAAATGGGTATGATGGACAATACCCGTCACAGGGCTGTGTGGCAAGCATGTGACTAAAGCATAGAAGGAACCTAGTACAGGATTTTACAGAGCAAAGAGTTAGTCAAAACTAGTTTGGAAAGTCTTTTTGACCTCAGTTTCCTCATCTATAAAATGAGACTTCTATTATCTACCTCTAAGGATTAAATGAGATAAACTGGTACAGCATAGCCTGGATCAGGATCTAGAAGTCCAGCCCCCAAGCCAATGCCAAGGTCTCTTGTCTTCAGTTTGCTGTAATTGACTGACATCCGATATGCTATTATAGGAATATATACCCCCAGTATCAGGAAGGGATCTTCAATGGTTGGAGAATTCCTTTACTTTCCCATAACCACAACCAGATCTTGAGCTCTGCTATCCTTTTTTTTTTTTTTTTTTTTTTTAGATGCCACATCTCTCTCTGTTGCCCAGGATAGAGTGTAGTGGCACAATCTCAGCTCACTGCAACCTCCACCACCTTGGTTCAACTGATTCTCCTGCCTCAGTTTCCAGAGTAGCTGGGATTACAGGCACCCGCCACCACACCAAGCTAGTTTTGTATTTTTAGTAGAGATGGGGTTTTGCCACGTTGGCCAGGCTGGTCTTGAACTCCTGAACTCAAGTGATCCACCTGCCTCAGCCTCCCAGAGTGCTAGGATTACAGGTGTGAGCCACTGCGCTCGGCCTGGCCTTGAGCTCTGCTTCTTTATACAGGAAGAGTATCTGTGAAGACCAGATTACCTAGGACTGGAGAACCAGGTGGCCCCTGGTTCCTTTAGGAGTCTAGCTGGGTAGTTCTGGTAACCAGAGGTACACAGTTGCTTGGCATGTGCATTTGTGGGTTTTGACTGACAACAGGTGGAGAGCTCTGGCCAGTGCAGTTCTGGATGGAAAGGGGCCTTGCTAGATCCAGGCTGCCTCACCAACCTAGGTTGGAGCCCTCTAGGCACATTGTGTGGTGGCTTAGCCTGGTTTTGAATCTTTCCCTTACTAGCTATGTTTCCTGTTAGCCTCACTAGCCTGCAGTTGCCTCTTTCGTAAGATAGGGAAAGAATAGTTTCCATCTCACAAAGTTGCTGTGAATTTGAATAGATTGGACCATATAGAGTTCCTGGAATAGAGTGTACTTCACATGACCCCAGTGTCCTCAAGTCTATCAGCTTAAAGTATGAGATCTAAAAGAAAGAACAGGATGCCCTTTCACTACCTACAACTTAGAGAATCCCAGAGAAGGCCTCTGATTGGCCTGCCCCAGTCATGTGACCATCCTTTAACCTGATCACACATCCAAAGGGCTGTCTGTGGTTACACAACAAGGGTTTTTATCTTAAGATAGGGAAGGTGGACACATTTTCTAAAAAGAGAAAAATGGTAGTCATTAAAGATCATTTCAATGGCTCCATGATTTTGGATACAATTTGCAAACATCTGAGTTCAGTTCGAAGTCTGTAAAATGGTCACAGAGATGTCTACACTATATTAAGTTATTCTGAAGATAAAGCCAAAGAAACCGTGGATCACAATGCCCGGCACATTTTAGTTCAGCTCAGTAGATGTTTGCTGAATCCAAATGTTGTCATCTTGGTAAGTTTGTGTTATTGTTACTGGTCCCAGGAGATCTTTAATAATTAGTAATTATGTAGAAATAAGGAATTATTTACTCAATTATCTTTTTATAGATGTTCAAAGACAAATATACACACATGTACATACACATACATATATATATGTATATATATGAGAGATAAATTGATAAATCTATATGTGCCCTAGGGGTGCTTAAGATTAATTTTTCTTTCATATTATTGGTCTGAAAAAAATCAAATGGGGCAGGGGTAAAGCTGATGAACATTATATTAAACTTACATGGGTCCCAGATCCTCCCTTTTTAACCAAAATTTTATTGTAAAAGTATTAAAACAGAAAACTTGGAAGAAGTTTATAGCAAATATATGTATACCCTCCACATAGATCCCACCATTGGTTAGCATTTATATACTTTATTTGCAATGTCTGCCCATCCCTCAATCCATCTATCGATCCATCTTAATTTTTGATACATTTCAAGCAAGCATTTCAACAATGCAATGCCAATATTTATCTATAGCTTTTTATGTAAAAAGCATATACATGTATTGAAATGCATACATCTTAAAGATACATACGTTGAATTTTGTCAAATGCAAGCATCTGTGTAGCCCAAACCCGTCAATCCTCCAGAACGTTTCCTTACACTCTTCCCCAGTCAATCCTTGTTCTCACACCCAGAGTTCAGCACTGTGCTTTTTTTTCCCCTCACCTCTGATTAGTTGTTTGTTCTAGAACTTCATGTAAGTGGAATCATACAATTTGTACTTTTTTGTTTCTAGCTTATTTCGTTCAATATAAAGTTTTGGAGACTGGTTTTTGTTTTTGCATGTAGCAGTACTTTGTCTTTTTCACTATTGTATGGGATTCCAATTTATGAATATACTACAATTGATTTATTTATTCTCTTGTTTATGGTCATTGGGTTATTTCCAGTTTGAGGCCACTATAAATAAAGCTTCTATAAACATTTGGATACAAATCTTTTTGTGAACATTTATTTTTATGTTCTTGGTAAATACTTAAGCATTGAATTGCTGAGTCAGAAGGTAGGAGGATGTTAAGTGTTATAAGAAACCACATAGGATATTTCTCCAAAATTCTGGTATCATTTTACATTCCTGCCAACAATGTATGAGAATTCCAGTTGCTCCACATCCTTGTCAACATTTGGCGTTGTCAGTCTTTTTCATCTTATTCATTCTTGTGGGTGTGTAGTAGTCTCACTGTGTTTGTAGACCTCTTTTAAAAAATCAGTGCCAAATTCTCATCCACTTCATAAAATGCCTGAACTGGAAGGACTTTAACTTTTAGATGAGGAAACTGAGGTCTGGAGAGGAAAAGAGACTGACCACCATTTCACAGTATATTAAAGGTAAAGCCAGATTAATAACCCAGGCTCCTGACAGCTGACCTAGGACTCACAATAAGAATGTGTCATTAAATTGAGCACCTATATGTGCCAAGCATTGAAGTAAACTGTCTCCTCTTCACTATTTAAGTCATTCATTCATTCATTCATTCAACAGACACTCACTAAGCTTCCCCCTGGTCCAGTAACATTTTAACATTACTGATACAGAAAGAAATAATAAAACCTCCTAGTTGACAAAGAACTCACTCTACTGAATGAGAATCTTCCATCCTTGATCCAAGTCATATTTTTTTCCACTTTAGACATGGCAAGAGCCACAGGCATTAGTGCATTAAGGGTGCTTTCATGAGTGTAAAGGAAGCTGCTACAGCACTTTGAGAATCTTTTTGTTTGTCTGTTTGTTTGTTTGTTTTAATGGAGACTTGCTCTGTCACCCAGGCTGGAGTGCAGTGGCATGACCTCAGCTTGCTGCAACCTCCACCTCCCAGGTTCAAGCTATTCTCCTGCCTCAGCCTCCCAAGTAGCTGGGATTACAGGTGCCTGCCATCATACCTGGCTAATTTTTGTATTTTTAGCGAAGATGGGGTTTCCTCATGTTGGCCAGGCTGGTCTCGACCTCCTGACCTCAGATGATCCACCTGCCTTGGCCTCCCAAAGTGCTGGGATTACAGGCGAGATTGATTACTATAGCAAAGATGGGGAGTGCTAACTCCAGAAGATATCTGTATTTTTGCTCTTTCCCTTCATTTTGTTTCCAAACTTTGGTCATCATGCACCACATATTCCCCTGAAAGAGGTGAGTGTCCCTAGAGGAAGGCTAGAAGTCCAAGAACCCTGGTGGGAAGAAAAAGCTTTGTAGGGGGGAAGGATCTTTTCTCAACACTAATCATTCAGGGAAGACCACTGGGGTCCCATGAGAACTGCTTGGTTATTTCTAAAATCAACTGGAAGTGGATTTCCAGGCCAAGACAGAGAAGAGGCCTTAGATATTACATCATCCAGAAGTTTCTGCAGACAGACCATGGCTTGGATTAGCTGTCTAAATTTCACCCTCCATATGGAGATAGGTGGGGGAAACATTAGTATGCAAATTCCTGGGTCTTACCTATAAGGATTCCAGTTCTCTAGATCTGAGAGGGAAACCCAGAAATCTTTCCTTTAAAAAGGTTCCATGGGAGTTGGAGGGCTTTTAGGGTAGTGAAATTATTCTGTACATTATTATAATGGTGGATACATGTCATCATACATTTGTCAAAAACCATGGGCTGTACAGTACCAAGAGCGAACCCGAATGTAGACTATGAACTTTGGTTGATAATGATGTATCAATGTTAGTTCATCTATTGTAATGCTGATGGTCGGGGAGGGCTATGTTGGTGGGTGAGGGATAGGTGGGAACTCATGTACGTTCTTCTCAATGTTGCTGCGAATTTAAAACTGTTCTAAAAAATAGTCCATTCGAAAAATAGAAGCTCTCTGGATTTATGCAACCATCAATAACTATAACACATTTCCCTGCCCAAAACCGTTCCGTGGTTTCTCAGTGTCCTCACAACAAAGCCATGCTCCTTAGCCTGGTCTCCAGGGCCCTGTGAGGTCTGGCTCTGCCCTTCTCCCCATCACTCCTTACTCAGTACTTTTGAACATCCCTTAGTGCTGGGATAAACTCATTCTCATTCCAGAGTCTTTGCTCAGGTGTTCTTTAGAAGCATTTTTTCCCTCACTTCAGCATCCATCCCCGTTTGCCAAAAATATTCGTATATGTTCATCGGGTCTTGGCTTAGGTGTCACCTCTTCCAGGTATCCTTCCCTGATTGTCCCTGGCTGAATCAGGTGCTTTTCCTTGGGCTTCCACAGCACACACACCCCACCCACTTTGCTTCCCCCAATTTGGCACTAATCACTCTCATGTATAACCGTATTCATTTCCCTCTCCCCTGAAACGCTATCAGTCCAATGAGACCCAATAATTTCTTTACTACTAAATCCTGAGTGTAAGCACAGGGCCTAGCACATAGAAGGTGGTCAAATCATGTGGATTGAATGGATGACTGAACCCAGTGGCTTCCGCACCCTTTCAGTCCCTCCCCTCTTAAATCCTGTTTCTCTGCACACAAAAGTCTTGATGGTGGCTGAGGCATCCTGGCAGATAGCTGGCTTCATTCTCACGGCCATCCACTTCAGACCTATTTCTCTGTTAGGTGAACAAGATCCACAGGTCCCTAATTAGCACTGTGGACTTCTGGAAGTTGCAACATCTCAAGAATGGTGCGGCGGAGTCTGTTCCTGGGGCATCCTGCCATGCCCCCTGTTAGATAGAAGAAGAAGGATTATGCAGCTCATGTCAGCAGCTCCTCACTGTGCTGTCAAAGCAAGGCTCCCAAGTGAGCTGGCACAGGTGGTAGAATGAAGAGTGAAGAGGAGCAGGAACAGATATGAGCTAAAAGCCTGTCCTGCCCCTTGTTCCATACTCCAGGTGCTCTCCAAGTCCTTGGCGAGCTGTTTAGGTAGCAGGTTCTATAATGGCTTTGAAAGTAACAAGTGAGTACGGGCCATTCACTGAGGAAACTACGCCCGAGGTCCTCTATTTGGAAGAGTACCTTCCGATCGGGCCACGATCTCTGCAGAAAGACTTACCTTTGGGAAGCTCTCTTACTTCCACTCCCTCATAACAGCCTTTCCATGACTCTGCAAGTGGTACAGAAAGTAAGGCTCAGAAACTAGAATGGGTTTCCCTGATACCACCCAATGTATCAGTCCAGGCTCCATACAGGAAACAAAATACAGTCTAGGTATCTTAAGCAGGAAGGGATTTAATACACGGAATCCAGGGCATGTAAGACCACTGGAAGGGCAGAAGGAGCAAGTTCTAGGTTAAGTCTCCTAGAGTAACTTCCAGAATATACAGAGCAGAGGCATATGGACAGCTACTGCCAGAATTATGCCAGATGCAAGACGCTGTTGCATTTCCAACACCACTGCCTCTTGATGTCTAGGATGTGAGAGAATGAAGTGAGGTCCCTGTTGCAGGAAAACCTCCAGTTACTACCACCACACTATTTGCCAATAGCAGTAGCCACAAACTGCCAGAGAATGGACTCACATTAGCTCCCTAAATCTCACATCAATACCTCTCATTGGCAGGAACAAATCTGCATCCAGAACCTTAGCTTTCAGAGAGTTTAGAAATATCCTGCTTAGGCTGGGCGCGGTGGCTCACGCCTGTAATCCCAGCATGCTGGGGGGCCGATGTGAGCGGATCACGTGAGGTCAGGAGTTCGCGACCAGCCTGACCAACATGGTGAAATCCCGTCTCTACTTTAAAAAAAATCCAAAAATTAATCGGGCATAATTCAAGCTACTTGGGAGGCTGAGGTTGGAGAATTGCCTGAACCTGAAAGGCGGAGGTTTCCGTGAGCCAAGATCATGCCATTGCACTCCAGCCTGGGTGACAGAGAGAGACTCCAACTGAAAAAAAGAAGAAAAAGAAAAAGAATGAAAAAGAAATACCCTGCTTAGCTTTGTAGCCTCTCCAGGCCAAAGAAGGTGGAATGGAAGTTCAGTGAAGCCACGCAGAGAACCCAGCACTTAGGAAACCCCAGGCTGAATTCCAGCGCTGCCACTTTCTAATTGTGTGGTTTTGGGCAAGTGACAAAAATATGCTTTGCTTTCTTGTCACTATGACATGACAATGCCAGCAGCCATCTCCTAGCAGGGCTGAAAGGGTTAAATAAGATGATGCTTGCACAATGCTCAGTGGAGAGCCTGGAATACCTTAAGTCCTCAACAAATGGTAGGTGGGTGAGACCATTACTATTATCACAGTTTTAGCAAAGGCTGGCTCCTCTCATCTCCTTACCAACACCACCATCACCAACAAAATATAATCCAAAAGAAAAAAAAAAAAAAAAAATCAGGTTACACAGTCACACAAAGTATTTTCATACTGCTTCTGAGAACAAGAATCCTTGTAGAAATATAATTTAGATACAGAATTCTTGAATTACCAGGGCTTTTCTTTAGCTTTTGGGGGACAATGGGAAAGAATACTGGAAGCTAAATTTATTGGGGGGAAAGCTTAGTATATGGTTAATCCCCCTCTGTGGAGCAGCTCCGAGAAGGGAGGAGAAAGAAAAAGAGGTTCTTGGTATTAATTCTCTCAGAAGCAAACGAATGCCTCACTTTGCTTGGGACCACAGAGCATGGGAGGAAAATAGTGGAATATCTTCATCTCCATCCAGTGTTTTGAGAAGATGGAAGAGAGTTATTAATCTGTTCCTAGAAGGGCAGCTGAGTCCGCAAAAAGAGGTGAGAAATCACAATCAGGCAGCCCTGTGTGTCCCTGCCCCCACTGGGATGCATGACTTGGGCAGGTCTTGTTCTTCCTAGAACCTCTTCTTTCTCATCTGCAAAGTGGAGATGATCTCTTCTCCCCGCTGGATGGCTACGAGGACACAAAGTCAGGCCATACACTGAGTGTTCTGTTTTCCTGCCGCTGCCCATGGGCCTGCCAAAAATCACTGGGATTTATGAGCTCAAGCCAACGGAGAATGTATGTGATGGGGTGTCAATTCCAGGACAAAAGTCTGATCTGGGTCTCTGTACCTCATGGAAGCTGGAGCCTGCACCTATAGCAGCCCACATTTCTTTTTTTCCATCAGGGCAGCGATGCAGGGAGAGTGAAGAGACTTGCCAGACAGAAGAGGCCGTAAGGGGACCGTTTCCTATCGCGGTTTCAAAGTGTCAGGTATCAAGGTAGCTATTTGCAGGTAACAAGCATCCTCAGACAGTGATGGAAGAGAAGAGCCACTCATGGATGGTGGCGTGTCTGAGTCGGAAGATGCCTCCCTATCCCTGCCACGCTTGGCATAAGTTGCTATGGGCGCCCCTCCCACGAAAGTGGCCAAAGTGATTAAGCGGCCATGATTGGCATCCTGGGGCCCTTTGCAGCAGGCACGACCACTCGACGCCCATTTGAGCGCCGGAGGAGGGTGGTCCGGAAGGACCCACCGGCACGGCGGGAAGGCTCGATTAGCCCACCTGGCAGCCGGACCCAGACCTGGCTGGCAGCAGCATATTGCTCACCGTCTGGCAAATAGACAGATTTTCACAAACCAGATTCCTCTTCACAGGCCTGGGCCCTTCCTGTCCAACTGTTCCGGCATCTGTTTCTCTTAAAATGTATTTATTACACTGAGAGGAATAATAATGGGGCCAGGTCTGAGGCCCCGGAGGCAGTGGCAGTTTCTCCACCCAGGGCTTCCTTGGGAAGCGTTCGTGTCAGGGAAAATGGAACAATGCTTAACCTAGGAAGAGTGTGCCCTTGGTCACTGGAGTCGGAGAGGGACTGGACATTGACCCAGGGTCTAAGACTGAAGGAGATATACTGGGGATGGTGGTTGGGGGCTTGATACCTGTGGGCTGTGTGGCTTTGGGCAACTTCCTGAACCTCTCGGAGCCTCAGTTTCCTTCTCTATGAAATGAGGGTTTGGCTGCATGACCTCCAAGGTGAGTTGTTTCTTGTTTTGCCTGTAAGTGATTTGAAAAGTTTATGCCTGTAGAATTCAGCCTTACCTGCACACCCAAGATTAGGCATTCATTCATTCATTCATTCATTCATCCTTTCATTCATCAGATTATTCAATGAGCAAATTACTGTCTACAAGACACTGGGGATGCAAATGATGATGTAAAGAAAGGAGGGAGCAAGGCCGCTGGAAGCATGTTTCCCACCACTCAGATAATGTGAATGTGTGTACCAACACCAACAGCAGCTGCTGTCCATAGGCCTGGTTTACCATGTGTCAGGCATGGTGTTAAAGCACCTTACAAACATCACTGCTTTTAATATTCCCAACAGCCCTGCAAGATACATATATATATATATATATATATATACACACACACACACACCTTTGTCTCTATAGGTGATACTGGAGGAAATGGAAGCCAAGTCCAGAGAGGCAAAGCAACTTATCCAAAGTCATATAGCAAATACACTGACAGGAAATACCCTGGATGAGGATTTCACTGGTTGATTGACCATCTTGGGTTCCTATTTCAATGACTCTGCAGCTTTTGAAGATGTGTTGCTGCCCGGATCCTATCTGATTTCTACAGTAGCCTTCTGGGGTTGCCGGAAAGGACGGTGAATCCCACCTGACTGGTGAGGAAGCTGAGGTCTAGGGATGGAAAGTGATTTCCTCGAGGTTACAAAGCAAGTCAGCAGCAGCACGATCTGGAAATACAAAACTGTAAACCTAAACCTCCCACTGTTCGTTCATTCATCTCCTCACATAACAGGTACCCTGTGTAGTTGATTCAAATGTGCTCATTTAGCTTTTACTATCTCTGAAATCCAGTTTCATCATACAATGCATGACATGCTATGTTTTAACTGGTAGATTTTTTTTCTTAGGGAAACATAAAATAACAGTGCGGTTGTAAGCAAAGGCCTATTCGATGGTATTTACTGAGCACCTATTATATGCCAGTGTTGGACATGGCTCCTGCTGTTCTCCTCATCCATGGAGCAGGCCATGGGAAAGCTGGGATTCTTGGGAAGTCCTAGGAAGATGGATTTTAGGTATCAGGGTTTGGTTCCCTTCACCATGTTCATTGGCCAGCTCTGTTCAAGGAATGGGGGGTGCAGACAGATCCACTTTGGTGGTGGCGGTTGGGGGTGGTAGTGACCATTGACCATCACCAGCCTCTCAGGAGCTCTCATTGAGAAGCCTGAGAGCTGAGCCTCTGTTCAGTCTGTGCAGGTGCCCTGCTGTCCATCTCCACTCAGACAAACACCTTTCCCAAGTTCCCTGGGCTCAGGGAGACTGCGCTGGGCCCCAGGCAATCCTCAATGGGACTGTAGTGATGATAATTCTAGTACTGTTGCTCTGAGCTTCTGGAACATTTAGGGTAGAATGATTTTGTCGGCTCAGCCACTGCTGATTCCCAAGAGACAGGAGGAGCCGGAGCAGGGGGTGCAAGCAGCTGCAGTCAAAACACAGTGATGGGTTAGTTTGCTCTGAGGAGGGGGAGGTGGGGGCATTATGCCAGGACAGAGCAGCCAGTGCTGGGAGCTGATTGCCTGGCAGGGCTGGGCTATGCTAGGAAGATGAACGTGCCTGCTCTGCGAAGGTCTGCAGGGCTGGCAAAGAAAATTGAGTCATGGCATCAAGATGTCCAGACATTTGGAGCAGGTATGGGTAATTTACCCCTTTGTGGCACGTCTGTTCCTTAGACAGAGGAGAAGGGCAGCATCTTGGGAAAGAGGGCAGCCCAGGAAGTGATGTGGAGGTCTCCATACACGGACGCATCCCTTGGGAGACAGGCAGTATCATGCAGCAGAGCCAGGCTGGAACTGAAAGAGAATTTAGAGACCAAGCCCATCATGTCCTTACTTTTATAGATGACATATGGAGACCAGAGAAGATTGAACCACCAAGGTCACACAGCAAGTTTCATCACCAGCAAAGTGGGCATGAAACACCTCCTTTCTCCTGGTGTAGTGTTTATAAAACCATGCCATCGGAATACAAACACACACACACACACACACACACACAGAGTCATATGCACACATACACACATACACATGCATACATAGACACAAACACACACACAGACAGACACACATACACGAAGTGACTTTCCTATCATAGAAACACTTG